TTATAATTCTATCCCTTCTAGAGTGACTACACATAATGGGCTGGCCTCAGAGTCATGCAGGTTGAGTTTGGTGTGTTCCAGCAGTCCATTGGACTAATGATTTCCACGCACCTCTCCTCTAGACAGGAGTAACTGCACCTTAGATGGCTGCTCTTGGGAAATCTTCATTACTAGCAGGAATACAGGGTAGCAATCACATACTTTGAGATATGGTATGAAAGCTCGTAAATTAAACATTCTCAGATACTTTTTCTTCTGAAAACAGTAGTATTTTAAGTTGATTATAATTTGGAGATCACTCCTGATAAGCTAGAATTAAAAATATTCGCTTACACATACACACGCACATTCTCTCTCAGGTCCTATCAGGTTACCTGTTTATGACTTTTAATTTAGATTTGATGTGTATCACTTTTTGACTTGAAAAGACTGCTTGCTCTGTTGAAAATTTAACTGCCATTCCCACAAGGAAAATGAAGCCGTAAAACTTCTAAGGAATGGCTTAGTTTAATAATTTTTCTAGAATAGTATAATCTGAATTAGACTTTTAAAATGCCCTATATAAATTTTTCTTTTTGACATTAGTGCACTATTTTTTCTTCTTAAAAGTAGTTTTAGAAAACTCAGTAGTAAATTTTTTCTTCTTAATGCTTTTAAAATATGAAGTAGAAATAACTAACCTTTTTATAGTGAAATAGTTCCAATTCAAGAAGGGCTTTCTTTATGCTATATGTTACTGTTATGTTACATGCTCCTGACGTGAATGGTAAAGACAGTTATTTCATTTCTTTGTAATTGATGTTATTTTATAGTGTATCTTAATAAAACACTACTAGACTTAATCCATAATGTGTAAACTGCTTAACTTGATGAGGCCTCCCAAATTTCTTACTGTCTATAGTCATTCAGAATGTGATTTTATTAAAAGAGAGCTACAATTTGCTTAGATAATGTACATTGTGTGTGTACATGAGCTTATTTAAAAATGGTCTTAAAAACGTAATTTCCTTTTAAAATTTCAAGTACAAAAGTGTTTTCTTCTAGTCACCGTTCTAGTTTTAAGCACACAAACACTGGTTAGATCTCATATCTGAAGCTGAGAAGCTTATAGCTGAGTAAAAGACTCAGACGTGTAGATCAATACTTGAAAGTTTAAGAATTGTCATGGAAGTTTGCTTAAATTGGCCTTGGAACAGATAGGACATAATTCATCTGCTATGGGGAGAGGAAAAGTAAAAATAAAAGTATTTGGCTTCTTATATGTAATTAAACAAGGTTTTAAAGGCATTGACTGAGGGTTGTAAAACTTTGCTGTTTGGAATTAGAGGTGTTTTCTTCTGGGATTCTTTTCCCTCCTGTATAAATCTTTTATTGGGAATATGTGACCTTTTGGTTCTAATAAGCAGTGTTTTAAATGTTGGGTAGATGTGTGATTCTAAAAGGGAAGATGAATCCAAGTGTCAAGATTTGGATCTATGAGGATTCTTCTGTTTCAGCCTTGAAACCCTAAAATGTAATTATCTCAAGGAAACTGCAGGTTTATTTTTCCTTTCCTCAACATCTGAGCTGGACTTTGAAAGATGAATATACTTTCCAAGTGGTAAAAAGGTTTTCTGAGTAGAGGGGAAGTCTGATGTTGTAGAAGACTCAAAGAGAGGGTTAGAAATTAAAGGGAGATGCGGGAGTTTTCTTGTATGGTCACAGAGTGAGTGGTAATATTATTAATTGAGCAAATGACAATAATGATTTTAGGATTTTATGTGTAAGTGCTTGCTTATAGTCCTGCTGAGAGTTGTAAGAAAATAATGTAAGTACAGACCACTGTTTATGGTTGAGTGGAAGACTGTAAA